GTGCGTGCGTGCGTGTGCGTGCGTGCGTGCGTGTGTGCGGTGCGATTGTAATGCAGCTCGCGATCGTATAGTGTACCAGGTTCGTGTACTTTTGGTGCGTGTAATATATACCCTTAGGTAACACGATTAATAGACAGACATGAAGAAACGTATGACCGAAACTAAGTGTAACGTACAACAATTAGTTCTATTCAGTCTTTCACCGAGTAATACATAAATGTTATGCACCCTCTAGGAGCGTGTCGCATACACGAGTCGTACAATAACCGTAGTCTCGAAAGAGTTTACACACCGTGTCAAAAGAGTTTAACACACACAGTTTCAAAAGAGTTTAGCACACACAGTTTCAAAAGAGTTTAGCACACACAGTTTCAAAAGAGTTTACACACGCAATACAATATCAAAGGCAAAGCTATCAATACTCACGTCTGGAGAAGCGACTCTTGACTCTCCCTTTCTATTCAAAAGTGTCCCTATTTATACTATTTTACCCGTATCACGTAACTTAAGTAGTGCCACGAGTTGGACACATTCCAAGGCCAACTAGCACAACTTCCACAGATATGGGTGTTATCTTACCACTGGCCTAGTCTTTTGACACTAATGAGGCGGGTGACGGATTGGTCCCCTGCGGCCAGTCCCTGACACCGAGTCTGCCGATGTAATTTCTAGTCACTAATTATGACTGAATTTGCTTCATTACACTTTCATGTGCTTTCCTACTCCTACGAAAACAGGCCGGAACATTGTTTCCTTGGGAGCTACCATGCTCTTGCTGTGCAAGTAGCCCCGAGAACACGGCTTTTTCGGAAAAAGCGGACGAGGAAGGAAAAATGGCGTGCGCGTGGATGTTTAGATTTTTCATAGGTCGCAATGTATCGTTTCGGCGGTGGGTTTTCGGTGTCTGCACAGAAATCATCGGTGCGGTTGTGCACGGCGTGACCCTCACAAAGGTCACCGCTAGTAATAAAGGTCGCCGCTAGCGAGGTCACGGGTATAATTATGAAGGTCATGGCTACGAAGGTTGCCGCTACGAGGGTCGCCATTACGAAGGTCATTACAAAGGTCATCGCCATACGCGACCCCCCTGACCTCTGACCTCGGCATTTCCTCGTCGGCAGCCGACGACGCGCGATGCACGCGTGGCGCCCTCTAGAGTTTCGGGACGTTGGCGATTGATCGAGAAGAGATGATCGTCGCGTGTGTGTGCATATAAGCAGAGAGTCGGCTGCGCCGTCGCCACGGTGACCGACTCGAGGTGACGTCATCGCGATCGTGACGGTTTAGCCGCGTCACCGATTCCCAGAATCGGCGTGCTGACGGCGCGGCGGCGTAGGTGTGCGCGTATGTACATGTTTTCAAGATAAATACACCAGTGTGTCTGTTTTAACACGGGCGTTGTCGTTGTCGTTATATTTTATGCGTGTTTGCATTAGCATTTTTTTTCGGACTGATGCGTTAGCATCGGTTGCCCTGCCGTGTGTACCGAGGGCATGGTTGTATGTGCGTGCGTGCGTGCGTGCGTGCGTGCGTAGGTGTGTGTGTGTGCGTGGGGGCGTGCGTACATTCGTGCGTGCGTGCGTTTGTGTGTGTGGGCGTTCGTTTGTGTGTATTTGTGTGTGCGTGGTGCAATTACTGTTATTAGACTGCGCGTGCGTGTGCAGGGCTGGGGGATGCTAGGTGGATCTACTCATCGCCTAGAGAGAAAAAACATCAAGCGTTGATATTACCATAGAAATAATATAGGTAGACTATAGGTGGCTGTATGTATTTCTATGATACCGTATTACCACATCTTTATCAGCTCTTGATACTATAATAGCCTCTCCCGGCTAATACACACATCCGTGTGTTTGCCCCCTGCGTGCTGATAACGTGCGCGTGTGTGTGCATGCGTGCGCGCATGCGTGTGTGTGTGTGCGTGCGTGCGTGTGTGTGTTTATGTGTATGTGTGTGTGTGCGTTCGTGCGTGCGTGCGTGCGTGCGCGCATGAGTGTGTGTGTGTGTGCGTGTGCGTGTGTGTATGTGTGTGTGTGCGTGCGTGCGTGCGTGTGTTTTATTCTCACGATGGTGTGTCTAGTAGCGTGGAGGTACTGTCGTGCACACCATGCACAAGCACTTGGAACGTTTCAGTAGTAAAAACGATGGTAAATAAACGCGAAAAGTATTCACTAGGAGCATTTCAACGGCATTTACAGGAAATTATCGGCAATCATAGGCGAAAGAAAGCGTGGAGAAACATTATGAGTTTGGCAGTAAATACATTTCATGTTTATTTACCATCGTTTTACTATTGAAACATTTCGAGTGGCTGCATGTGGCGTACACGGCTGCGTGCAGCAAAGCTCGTCTGCGAAGCGGCGGCATAGGACGCGCGACCTTTGATCGGCTGCTGCCTGTTACGGCAGCGTGCGTAAATAACGCAGACGAACGCACGCGAGCGGTGACGGAACTGCGCATGCGCCGGGGCCGGTGTCTGCGTTTACTCGTCGGTGATGCTGTTGTTGATGTTGTTGTTGATGTTGATGATGATGATGATGATTTTGTTGTTGTTCTCGTCGTTGTTGTTGTTGTCGTTGTTGTTGTTGTTGTAGGTGTTGTTGTTGTTGTCGTCGTTGTCGCCGTCGTCGTTGTTGTTGTTGTAGGTGGTGGTGGTGGTAGTGGTGACAATGTCCTTCATGTCTGCAGAAGGTCTTCCTATAAGCCCCTCTCTCTCTCTCTCTATACGGCAGTATACGGTATTAGCAGGATGATGCTTGCTCCTGTAGGTTCTCATAGTCTGAATCTTCCGTGGAGCTATCCGTTGATGAGGGTGCCGCCGGGTAGGCGTGCGTTGCTAATCGCAATGACTGCTTTCTCGTAGGTTTCTCCTGTGGGCTAATTCCAACGCAAATATGGATGAGCTGCTCGGAGGTTGTCGACATGCGCTGTTATCTCGCGTCCTGTTGTCTTGTGTTGCAGCAAACATTTCTTAAGCGTTATAACTTTAATAATGGTGAAATGTGCTTTTCAATGAGATGCTAGCTTTGGAGTTGTGTCGGGCTTCAAAGTTGGATCGTGGCAATATACCGCGTCTCCT